AAAAGTTTCCCCTTGGACCTGCCAGTGAATTTTATTTTCAGCATCTTCTAAAGCTTCAGGACAAGCTATACGTCTCCCAGCAACAATCAGGTATGTGCACAGGAAAGATGCACAGGGATGATGACTGTCTCAGAAAACGGAAAAGTGCACAGTAAGGTAAAAAAGTTGTACTGTGTGAATAAGAGGGCTCACATACATAGCAAATAGTGCAAACTGGACTACTGGATAAATCATTTGTCCTTAGAATAGGGGCTTAATTCCTATGACACAATGAGCAAAGGCAAATGGGAGTGAGTGAGGCCCAGCCTTTACTATCTATCTTGCATAGGAGAAGGATGAGCCCACTTTGATTTCCTTTCCCATATAAGGAATCACTTCTTTCCACACAACTTCATCTTTCTGAAGATACACTTTTTCTCATCTCTGCTAACCTTGACTGTTCACTATTCAAAGCTGAGACAGTCTCCTAGGTTAGGGCCACATATACCATTCTGGCTACAGCTGCGCAGGAGGTGAACAGTGTCAATTCAAGCTACTTGTCAGCTCTTCTCATTCCACTGCCAAAGGTTACTAGCCCCTCAGGTCTCCCAGCAGATCTGCTCTAGGAGCTTTGTCTATCCTGGTGCTATCAGAATGATCCTGGTTAGAAAGTCTATTATTTTGAGTATTGAAGCTAACAGGTTATTATGAAAGAACTGAGTTTGAAGAGACTGCATGTGCCAGCAGATACAAGGAAGGAACAGCCCCTGGAGATGATGGAAGGGGGTGGTAAAAAGTAGATGGTGCTAGACTTATTGCAGATACTGCAGAAAACTACAGATATTGCAGAAATGAGGAAAAGAAGAAAGCAACTCCCATAATCTCACAAAGGGAGTCTGCAGTAGGTGGGAATCTGATCCAGATTCCCTCTGTACCAGTGCTTCCCTTAAAACAGCATAAACATGCTTCTGCTTGACCTCAGTCTGGGCTACAAGGCTCATCTGCAATCAAAATAAATAATTATTTAAAACAACAGCAGCCACAGCCACCAGCAGCATCAAATGAAAGTGTCTTTGTGAGGACAGAATGCATCAGGGAGTCAATTGACACGACATGTCGCTTGCTCACCATGGCAGCGAAATGATGGAGGTTCCAGGAACCGTCCTGCTGCCAGAGCCCATTCATCTTAATCAACACCTCTGGGCACACCACACTTCATCTGAACTGTGAGTGCCTTCCTTCCCTAAATGTCATTTCATTTTTGTACCTGTTCTTGAGAGTTGTCAGCCCACGAACACATCTTTTTTTTGTAAGAATGCTGGCTCAGCATGAACCAGAAAGCGATTACATGCAACTATGCTCAGAGCCCTGACAAACACAGTCATAACACAGCGTACTAGATCGGATCCAAGCCATTTGTGTCATTACATTACGCCCTTCAGGTGCTTAGTCCTTCCTGCCCTTTCTGTCCTCAGCCTTTCATTTCACAGCCTAGGAAGAAGCCCTACACAAGTGATAGAAGGCAAGGTACCAGCCTCTGATGCCCCACACTGCTGTGACTTGTGTCAAATTATAGCTAGAGTGATTTGGTAATCCAAATCAATGCAATAATCTGATCCGTGGGGAGCAGCACTCTACATTGTTGTGCTGAGTGGCCACAATGGTACAAGCTCTGTCAGCTTTTCCCACCAGCTTTTTGACCTACTGAAGCCTGCACGCATATATTGAGCAACTGATGACACAGGGAAAAGTCTGACACATTCAGGCTGTTAAAAGGCACAAAACATATACTTTAAGTCCCAAGAAAATGCTTCAATTAAATTCCATTTTTGAACAAGAGTATATTTAGCCTAGCTATTATTAAAGGTTACTGCTATGTAGTGTGGACTTCATGTATTTGAAGAACATGTTAATGAACAGAAAGAAAAATATTTATGTTGGTGGATAACATTCAGATTATAAGAAAGGATGGGGGGAGTATCCAAAGGTTGAGAGGTCTATCTCAGTTAAGCACATAAAGGACGGACATTTACGCAGGCCTTCTGAGGCTGCAGGATTCAATTTGTGTAATGAAAGGCTCTCAGAACACCTGATCTGTCTTGGTTCAGTTCAGTCAGGCTGAAAAGTACTGCATGGCCTTGCATGCAGAAAATCTGACACTTTTTTTTAATATCCATTGAGATTTCTTACAACATCAACACTAGAAGACAGGCTAAAAGTTTTCTTTCAAATATGATATGAATAAACCATGTGATTCATTAATTATGACTCTTTAGAAAGTAGACAGGTACAGAAGGTCTGCTAACTTGGTTTTACAGCATACCTGAAAAAAAACACAGAACAGAAAGAAAGAAAAACTGGCTTATTAACTCCCATCACCCAAGATCTTATGGTAGCAGCAAAGATTATTTCACAATATTCTCATTCAAAGGGTTATTAACCCTTTAAAAAGCAATGCCAGTATGTACTAGATGTACAGTATTGAGCTTGAAAAAGGTCAATGTAAGATACTAGATGAAAGCTGGATACAGACTTCCTTTTAAACAAAAAAACAAGCTTGCCTCTAGTCTCTTATATTCAGAACAGAGTTGAAAAAAATATAAACTAAGAGTTAGGGAGAATTATTCTACCAAAACTGAAGATGGGACATCCAAGTGGTGTGTGTATATGTTTGTGTTAAAAGGGAAAGGAAAGGGAAAAAGGAAAAAAAAGTAAAAAAGGAAAAAAAAAAGAAAAAAGGTTCCTAAGAAGCACTTGATACCACATCAAAAATCTGTTCCTAAAACATTGCCCATATCCCTTCTTTAGAAGAGAGAAAGAAAAGATTGAAAATAATCCATCTTTCTACGTCTGCTGTCCCTCTCCCATACTCCTCATTCTCCCAATCTGTATACTCTTCATTGTCCTATTTGTTGGGATACAACAACTGCCAACACATTAATGTGATAAAGCAGTAAGTAATGGCCCAGTAATATTACTCCGGTCTTTCCCTTTGGTCCAAGTTAGAGCACAGTGGCAGCTGACAATTTCTCTTCCTTGAAGTCTCCCACCTATTGCATCATACCTCCTGATTCATGTTATTACTTCAAAATGTATTTCACCAGCAAGCCTCAAATTCACGACTCTCTCTACAACATCAGTTCTGGGTTGTAGAACTTTTCTCCTTGTTCCAAGTTGAACCAATGCTAGCTGAAACCAATGCTGCTCAGCAAGAAGAAATGCTTAAAGACCTACTAAGTCCTTGTCACCACTCTCCTATTGATGATACAGACAATTACCCAGCAAAACAGTGCAAAACTATGTGCTCCAAGTGACTCCTGCTCGGCTAAGGTTACCAAACAGCACCAATTTAAAAAACAAAACAAAACAAAACAAAACAAACCCCCACCAATTTCTTTCACTTTTAGATTCCTAGAAATCCTGTCCTTTCCTCTGAGTCTACCCACAGTAAGCTATGCCTCTGTCATCTTCAGATTCACTCACTACATCTGACTTTATCTGAAGCTGTACATGACAATGATACACAACTTAGAGAAGCTAGACACCCAGCCCTCTCTTTGGCTCACCTTCAACATCAGACCATATCATTCTGACAATCTGGGCCTTTCCTCAAAAACCCAATTTACTGCTAATATCAGTTTGAACCTTGGATCTACAATTTTAAAGCAAGCAAGAAATCTCATCTTAGTTCCATCAGGGATCAGATTGCAATCTATAAACCAAGCCACAACCTGTGCTCTTCAGGAGCAAAGCCAATCAGAAAGATATGGGCTGAAAAGGAGACTTGAGCACTCCTTATTGAAAAGAACAACATTCTGTAGGAGATCAGGGAAACCTACAAGCAGACCTACCTTCAGAAACAGTGGCAAAAACTGATCTTCTTTCTGTAAGTGGTAACTACAATCTGAATACCCCAACACCCGTACCACCAAAAAAACCCCCAAAACAAAAACCCAAACAAACAAACAAAAAAGCCCTAACCAAAAAACCCAACCCACCCCCCAAACCTATCCAAACACTATTTTGACTTTTCGGCTCTACCACAGAAGATATGCCAGAATTGCCATGAATTAAAAAATGGATGCTGCTACTGATTTGATGTGGAGACTGCTCAAATATCATCTAAGCATTATCACTGTTGATTTCCCCTTTTATATTTTCAATTCCTAAAAAAAACATAATCAAGCTGCTCACAAAGCAAGTAAAATGGTAAAAGGCAGCAGCAAAAATGTTTTGCTGCTTTAGCACTTCAGACTTCATCAAGCATCTACACAGCTATGTTAGCTCAACTCCCCCAAAGACTGGTGATGCCACCTAACTTGAACCTTCCTGTGCTCATGCTGAAGAATATCATGGAAGTAGCATTTCCACTCAATCTAGTTATGCTTGATTACTTTGCAACTACAAAAAGTAAAACAAGGTTGCTAACTAGAAAAATCACCTCAGTAGAGGAGTTACAAAATAAATACAAGCTGAGCCTGCACTTTCCCCCCGCTATCACCTGGAGGAAAGAGCTGACATATTGAAGATGGCGAGGCACATTCACGAAGCATTTTGCCAAAGTTTAACAATGCAACTCACATTTACTTCAATCAATATAGAGTGAAAACAATGGGAAAAATCGGGAATTTGTTATGATATTTGAATGCTCAGCATAAAACACATTTCTATAATGAAACAGAACTATAGACACAATACAAGAACACACCAAAACCAGACACAGGCCTAAATCGATTCCTATTCTGGACAAATTTAGAATTTAAATATATGCTTAAGTATTACTTAGAACAGAGATATTCACTGGGCATCAGCAGCAATTCACAACGTTATCTGGTTGAAAAAAAAAGTTATCATCAAAAGCTAGATTTTATTGTGGTATATCAGAGAATCATGATAGCTGTAAAGCTGTTGCTTTAAAACCTACTCTGTTAATGGCACAGAATTTTAATTATGTGATATTCTCTAGGGCTACACACACTTCTTACTGACAGAAAATTATTATCATTTATATATTATTTTACCTGGAATTTTATTTTTTGCCAAATGTGAGGCACAATAAACTGTTTCAAGAAGCGTTCATCTTCACTCCAGAACAGTCGGATGTCAGGGATATTGTACAGGATCATGGCCAGCCTCTCCAAACCCAAGCCAAATGCCCAGCCAATTTTATCCTGAGCACCAGCTGCAATAAACAAACAAACAAGATAAAAATTCAAGAGCTTAAGTTCACAACATGAAAAATTGCTGATAAAATGTTCATCTATTTACCAAGGAAAAAAAGAAAAGTGAAGTGGCAAGACAGAAAAGCCTACAAGTAATGGCCAAATGAAAGATTTAAAGGCTACAGGACAGATCCTACTTCCATCAAAGACTGCAGCAAGACTGGGCACATCACAGAGTCCAGGAACCAAAAGTGATAATAAAATAAAGCCGCACCCTTGGCAATTTGTGTCCAAAGTTTCAGATAGACTTTGAGAAAAACTGCATAAAGCTATACAGCACTTCCCTTTACTATCTTTAGAGCTGAGCACTTCCACACCTGACTCAGTTGTGTTTTATAAGACACGTAAACATGAATTTCCTGCTCAGAATATTTTACTTGGGCTGACAGACCAGGCCAAGCCTATGCAGCATTAACATCACTACAAACATTTGAGTGGATCAAAATTGCCTCTTTTGAGGCATCTGGCAGAAACAGAGCAATGGGATGTGAAGTGCTGTCGCATTAGCATCACACCTCCAACCAGGAAACTCCTGGGCTGCTGTCCCTGGGAAAAACCACCGCTCCCACATACACAAGCCTCTTTCATACAGCACTAAATATAAAAAGACAAGAATATTTAATACAGAAGAGCTGTACAGATTTTAATGACACAACATTTCTGTCAGGAAAGTAAATATTCATACCTTCCTTCATTTACAGGGCAGGAGCACTGCGTCATTAAATGGGGATTTTTTCGACACCAAGAACCAACTCCATGTTTAGTCATCATCCTACTGGTTTTAAAATAAGCTGAGCCCAGCAGCTCTGGTAAAGGCTCAGAGCTTTTTAAAACTTAAACAAATGCCTAAATAAACACACTTATGCTGAAATGATGTGTGACAGTCTTGACTCTTCACCATCAGCACTGGCAGTGTGCTGCTGAGTCATATAATATCACTGTACATCTCACAGCTATCCAGCTAGACCAAGGCCATACCTGCCTCCCCCAGTATTAATTTAAACTCTAATTTTCTGGAAACTTTGAACTCAGCAACTTCCTCACCATCACGCAGGAGGCTGGAGGCAGAAGTCTACTTTCTGACCCCTGTCTCTGCTACCAGAAAGGAGACAGCTCTGGTTATTTGGGGGCTGATGACATCCTGAGGTACGCTGTCACATTCAATGCTGAGACGAAACAGTCCAGATTCCCGTTTAAATACAGGCAGGCATAACAAGCTTGGGAAAAGAGACACAGTCATCATTTTGATTCTTTTAATTAATTTGAGCCTGCCTATTTCCCTGGAATACCAAGTCCTTAGAAGAACCTCTCTGTGCCTCATCTGCAACCTCAGCAGTATTGCACTGCCACAGGAATTTGGTCAACTTCACAAGAGTACTTCCCAGAGGAGACTGGATATTCTGCCTTGTCCCTTCTCGTGTGCTCATAGGCAAGATTTTGCACTTTCTGACCTCTGAAAGTAGTTTATCAACTGAATTGTGGAAGTCCTGAGAAACAGAGGACTGAGGGTGAACTCAAAAGGTACCTCATGGCAGAGCTGCTCAAACTAGTATGCTTAGACCAACCAACAGACTTTGAGATAAGTCAACCTAGGAAACTTACAATCCATGCTACATTACATGAGGAGTTGCATTATTTGTTACTGTGGATTGAGTTATTTTTAGAGAAAGGACAGTAACTACACAGAATGTATAGAAATTTGTGTTTGGGAAAGATTTTGAGCTTAAGTGTAAGCCACAAACTGTTTCTTTTCCAAGCTGGAAGTACTATTACTCTCCATACTCCAGTATTTGAAAGTAATTATATTTTTATGGCTATGAAGAAGGGAAGATAATTCATTGCAATGGTGTTGCTTGCCCAAATTTCCAGCTTGTCTTTCTTAGATCATCAATTCCTGCCTCGGTACAAAACTCCTATTCATTTCAAAAGTGCCAGACTTTCACATATGTATGGGTACTTCTGCAGACTGATGAACACAGTCCACCCTCTTCTCCAGAGGCAAAGTAGAGCACCTGGAGCAGTATCCATGAGGGTTCTGAATGGCCACTGCTTAATCATCAGTGTTAATGAACTCACTGATGCTCATCTAAGTATACATGATGGGGTTGATGACCCTCCTTCCCCACATTAGTGATGATTACTAGTAGATTGGACAGGAAAAAAAAAAGGATATAACAGAAGATGAGCAGAATGGGTATATATTCTGATAAGCAGAGCTTTACGTTTAAGATTTGTGCTTTTTTAATATTTTGATGTAAGAATGGTTTTTGTTGTAACTCTTTTTTACTCAGACTTTATACCTAATTGATTTGCTATGCACTTTTATTCTGCAAGGAATGTTTTGATTTTACATCAGCAATTTGTTTGTTTGTTTGTTTTTGTTTTAGGAGGACTGGGACACATCACAGGTTTTTGCACTATGTAGCAGACAAAAAGTTCTTTACCCAGCTATCTGCTTAGCAGCTCAGAGCACTGTCGTCCGAGATATGAATAAACACCTAGTTGTAGAACTTTTGGATGATCCTCATACAATTAACCTCCAGATCTCAAACTTCTCAAGTGTCGACAGTCAAAGCCATATCAGTGAAGCATTCCCTCTACTCAGAAAAAAAAAAAGGGGGGGTGTGTGTGAATTCAGATCATTATAATTCCTCCTCAAATTGGCACTGGCAAATCTCCACTGCACTTTGCATCTTCAGTTATTTTGTCTCTGATCTCTTCTCCAACTTCCTATTTGTAAAGCTCCAAGTTAATGTAGCATTGACTTAAAGCATCTGAAGAACTACTTTGGGGAACTCAGCAAGACTAAAGCACTCTTCTAAACATATTTCTGACTGGAAATGACCAGGTGGCTTAGAAGTTAAATGTGTAGTTAACCACCCTGTTGAGTGAGAGTGCAACCCAAAGCTTTTCACAGCACGTATATATGAATACACTGAATTTTGGCAAGTAGTATGCAAAGAAGTCAAGTGAATGTGAGTCAACATGACAGAAAGAACAAACACAGAATAGCTTTAAATGTGGCAAAAAACAAGTTGACGTTCTGATGAGAAGACCTGGCCAAAGTGGCAGATTCCAGGGACCTGGTGGGGCAATCATAGCATCACTGCTTGAAATAACACAGCCCAATGGATAAAGCTTTCCTGACATACAAGCCTTCCCCAACTGGCCCTCAAAGTTTTGTACGCTGCCAGGCTCCTGCTGCCTCATGTGAAAAAATTGACTACCCACCAGATGAAAATTGCTGGAAGCTTTGCATGTCAGGTAGCCAAAGATGGAAAAGGAAAGGATAAAATGGTTTGACTGGCTTCCCACACTGGGGGCTGAGACAGTCTAACCTGACTCCAGAATGTTGCACCATCGCAGCTGTGTCTTACAAGGGAGCTCAAGAGTCCTTATCTTCCTTGAGAAGTCATATCTATCTGTCCTTCTTTTAAGCTTTGAGCCCAGATGAATCAGTTTACACTTAAATGTAGACCAGTCAAGCCATTCTCAAAAAAACATTGTTAAATGAAAGCTAAATTTGATCAGTCAGGATGGGAAGCTTCGTAATTATCCACTGAGGCATATATAATGACCTGCCAGAACTCATGGATTATATCCCACTGAATCGACAGAAATACCCACAGACAGAAACATTTACCTTCTCAAAGAGTGTGAGGCAAGACATTTTGCACTGTACAAGATTTTTAAGATGTTTTGCAATGCGGTGTTAGGAGCAGGTTGACAAAACTTTTTTGTTATACACTTCAGTCACACTTATTTTTATATCTATGCTGGCTTTTATTTAACAATTTTTGCTACTCCTGTAAAACTGCCAATAAATAAATCTTTCTTTCAATAGAGCCTAAACTGGGTCTTCAAATTGTTATACTCAGCAGTTACTGAGAAGTGAAAGAAATTAAATTTTGATCTTGGATTGAGGCAAAGTCAGGAGCATACAACAGCCTGAATACAAGGTGTTCTTCACAAAATGCCCCCGAATTAATATACCCAAAGTGTGTGTAGGTGAAACCTGGGATGAGTTCCAGAAGCAAAGACCTGAATTTGATCTCCTGCTTTCCCTGGACCAAACCATGGCTGTTAATGGAGCAAATTCAGGAACTGAAATGGTGGGGAGAGGGGTGAACAGATTCTCAAGGACAGACAGACTACACATCACATTTTATAAAACAAATCAGTGCTTTAACTATGTAGAAAGTAAGTTATAGACATAATGAACACGTGACGACACAAAACATCAGGAATTCCTGAAACAAAGACCTATACCCACATTTGAGCCCTATGTGATTAATGGACAGCTTATGAACAAGGCTTTGAAAACCAGCTTCTGCAAAAGAAACATTTACTTATCGCAAGAGACTAGGAATACATATTCTACACGATGGCCACAGCGATGAGGTAAACCATGTTTACCTGTGTTAAAAATAAGCAATTTTAAATTATTTCCTACTCCAGATAAAGCTCCCATATGTCGGGAGTCAAAGGTTTTACATGAAAAAATATACTAAGGTGTATAACACAGAAGAGCTTCTGAAAGTACAAGGTCAGGTGGCTGGGATGTTAAGCAACCGAGGCCAAAAAGCTTACTGAAGTTTTCTTCTGAACTGCTCTCTTCAGCAAAAGCAAAAATCAAAACCGTCATATTATTCTCTAACTCTGTTAAATTGATGCATTCAGGCTCCCGTGTGCAATTCAGTTTAAATTACCTCCTAAAATAAGGACTTGGCTTTCAGACTATGCATGCTAAGTAAGCCACTCCTCAAGAACTCAAGAAAAGCAGTAAACATTCAATTATGCCTATTCTGTGGAAGAAGAACTTATCTTTCTAAATCTCATATGTGGAATAATTTTCTAACAATAATAGTCACTTTGAGACCACAGTTTTGTCTCCTGGGTCAGACTGATCTGTTCTGTTTGCTCCACTTGAAAACTAAGCAAAAGAACTTTAAAGGCTTTG